GCAGCTACCCCTCTTTTTTTGGAGAAGTAGACTTCTCCTGCCCCTTGTTGGCCTTCGGATCTCCAGGGGAACAGGCAGGGTAAAGAGAAAGCAGATACCAAAAAAGCTTGTGCATGTGAGCTTTAACTACTTTATTCACAAGAATTAGCAATAATTGGATACTTGGGCCTAAGATGTCCAAAGTTATTTTAACTGGACTGATAACAAAGTTTTTTAATAGATTTTGCTGTTCAGTTACACTAAATGATAAATCTGAGGATCTACGTACAAGGTGAGTTTCTCTCACCCACAGAAATCACAAGGGAAGCTGAGTGGGAAGCTGGGTACCCTGCACTTGAAGCAGTTATTAAAATGCAACCTTTTTCCCCAATGATCACAACTTTGTGATCCCCACTGGATATAATGAGGCTGAACAAGGCTGGAGTCCATCCAAGAACTTCAACTGCGTGATTTTCCTGTTTACATAAAATCATCTAAACTGGAAGTCTTGGTCAAAAAGAGTAAAACCAGATTTTCTGCGAACTGAAAGAAGATCTAGGAAGTTGTTGCTATTCAGAAAGGATGGAGGCTGCTGGGACTGCACAAATGCTTGCCAGAAGCATTTGGTGCCACAAGATGGCAATCATGTGTTTCCCACAGCCCTCGCTTGGGTAGAAGGTTCCGGAAGTTCAGTAGCATCAAGGAGCAGGAGAGCTACAGCGCATCAAGGCAGCGTGAACAAAAGTCACCTCAGGAAAGCAGAATCATTATAATGTTGCACAATTTACTTTTTGTAATAGTTTATTAAGCTATCTTTGCAACAGAAAAGCTACATGAAGTATGGAAAAACAAACTAGATTTACGATCCTAACCCTATTTTGGCAATTTTCCCGTAACACTGGGAACATTCGGGGCCTTGTGATTAGTGCTTGTTGCCACTGTTAGAAAGAATGATTCACTCCCCTGAGGGGGTTTTGGCAAGAGGGGAATGGTGGAAAGAGATAAGAGTGGAAAGCTGGAGAAGAAGCCAGAACTGGTTTAGGGGAAAAAAAAAAAAGTTATATATAGACATACATATATACAGACACACAGAGTACATACAATATATATATAGTGTGGGTGTATATATATACACACACACATATATACATACACACACTGCATATTTGATCTTTACTACACCACATATAGCATACATACAGCGTGCATACATGCACATACTGTGTGTTTGTTCCGACAGTGCTGCAAAAAACCACAAGCAAGCACAGTAAAAACTAGTGGACGAGTATAGAAACAATTATTAAGTTTCAAAGTCTGAAATTTCTGTTAATTTAGTTCAACGTCTGGCAAAGTAAGTTGAAGGATTGGAGATCCGTATCACCAATAGCAGAAAAGGAAACAATTAGACTCTGTATTTAAAAAATTAGTAGCCAGCTACACAACTCCAAGTCCTGAAGTATTCTCCAGCAACCCAAAACAGCAGAGCAGCATTCCCAAGTTTATGAGATCTCTCCCTCATAAACGACGAGCCTGGGACAGCGCAATTCTCCTCTGAGACCCATTCTCATCAACGGTGAATCAAACCCCTACGATCTCCACACTGGATGCAAACACCCAAGGAGACAGAGTGGTGTCCTTCAGAACGGATTCACTCCGCAGGCTGACCCACCAGCTCTCGTAGAAGGGGTCCGTCACCGTTTGCTGCACGGCTGGATGAAACACACACACGGATCAACTTCAGTCTGTTCTCAAACACACTTCTACGCGAGCTACAGGCAACCTATAGGTGATAATTTGGAAATGCAGAGCTAAATCAAAGGGACAGCAGGCTTGGCTCGACACCGACAGAAGGCACCAACGTAGCGCAGACCAAGTTCACGTCAAGTGCTGCTTTTGGCTCGCACATCAAAGCCCATGATGCCTACGCCTGCATGGCAACACTGAAGGAGTTTTATTATTCTAACTAAAATTTCACTGAACCCCTAAGAGAAATAAGCATGACAAAATATGGCCTGAGAACGAGGTTATAATTCAGTAAATTAATTGCATGCATTTTGCTCATCAGTAGCCAAATCATATTCACAATTTATTGTCAACAGACAGATTTTTAATACATTTTGGGTTCTTCCTCCAGCTGTACTGCCTCCCAACCAGTTAACATAACGATAGAAGACAATCTGAAAGAAGACAAGCGAACTTCATCTATATGTTAGTAACAGTGTAATTAAAGAGACACAATAGACAAACCTCAAACACGCCCGGTTGAAAACGTGCGTGAGCACCACTTAAGCTTAACTGTACCACTAACGTATCAGAGGAGAAACGTTCCTTCCAGTCCATTCACGCCAATTGCTTGACAGCATTTCACGTCTGTTTCTGTGGCTGTTTTTAAAAGCCACAGGAGAGGAAAAGAACACATGTGCCCAGGAAAAGAAAATTAAGCCCATACGTTCACAAAACTTGCCCGAGCCATTCTACAGAGCCATACTCATGAGGGATATCTGTGTAGCACCCAATTGCTCTCAGCAAGGTCCTTCAGCTGCAATAAGAACTGGATTAATATCACATTTCTCATTAAAACTTTCAAAAACATCTGAAATCCAACATCTCTCCAGGAAAACAATTACCGTTACCCGAATCTCCAAAAATCACCGCAAAGCAGCGTTTCCATACGGATGCTGCAGGAAAAGCACCATTTATGTACTCAAGAACAGCACCTCCTGCAACGAGCAGATTTTCTTTGCAAGTTTTCTTACACAGATAGGGATTCAGCTGGGGCTTAGTTAATGTTACTCTTAAACATTTACTTTACATTTGTTTAAAGAGGTTTACCTCTAGGAGCCATGGTTTCAGTTTTCTGTCCAGCAGAATATCAAATCCCAGGACTTCAAAGCAGACACTGTCACTTCCTGGCGCTTGCCCTGGCCTGCACATGCGATAAGCATGAAGAACATGTGGCTCTGCAACTATGAGAGTCTTCACTACTAACTCCTGTAGGGATTTTGTTCAGAAAAAGTCATCAGGAGAGAAGACACCAATATACATTGAATTAACGCATTTCATTCTTTCATCTTTTAAATGTCATTAAAGTATCTACTAAAACCAGATTTTAAACACCAAATAAATGGTCTATAAACTATTCCTATGAAGTAACAGATAAATTTTGTTATATAGCTCTAGAGTACACTGTTATACTTTCCATAGTTCATATGTACTTTTAGATCGGTAGTAACTGAAATACTAGAGGCCTATTGGGAACAAAGTATAGTATAGCCAACCTTCACCCACTTCATTTTGAAATCTAATTTTCAATAAATTTTCTCAGAATCATACGTGCAGATGGTGCCTAAGCTCTAACAATCGTAGGCCCATTCCTCACCTAAAGACACCTGTGACATAACCACCAACTTCAACGGTGCAGGTTTGAATCCACAGATACATGCAATGTCGACTAGGATTTTGTAAATATTCACACACAAAATTCACTTTATACTCTAGAAAAGTCTCCCAGGTTTTAAATGGGACTGCTTCTTTGTATCCTATTACTTATGCAAATAAATGTTTCAAAGGGCTTTTGTCCCTCAGGAAAAGTTTAACATTAAATTTATAATCGCACTCTGAATTTAGTCTTTCAAAACACACAATCATAATTTGTAGTATGTCCTTTGTGGCATGCATTGCTGAGAATCTAGATTAATGAAGTTTCAGAAATCACTCTGGATTCCAGCAAAGAGGATGGCAGGAGCAATTAATTTGCTAAGATAACACAAGATTCTTACTGAAATATCACTCCAGAATTTGGAGACATCAAGATTATTTGTTTCTAGAAACTCAGTAAACCATTTGATGGAGCGTTTGCTTCCTTTGTCTTCTGTCTCATCCCGTTCGAAGTGCTCATTATGTTTATTGACAGAGTAGTTAGTCAGATGCATATACAATTGACTCTAAAAAAAGGGAGAAAAAAAAAAACTTTAATACAACTCTGGAATGGTCAATTCAAAATAATGACAAGAAAAAAAATATGTTAAATCAATAATGACACTCAGAGTTCATCCCTGCAAATACACTGTGTGCAGCTTTAGGGTTTCTGATTCTGGGAGATTTCACCTGCGGAACGTTCCAGCCTGCTTACACAAATCCTGTGCTCGTGTTTCAGACAGTTGCACACCTGAGCTGCCACTCAGCCCCTGGCCAGGCCATACCTCATACCCGCCCTTTTCACAGGCCTGTATGGAAACAGCTCCCTGAAGAAGTGAAGAGCAACTTTCAGAACTGAAAGGATGCTTACGCTCCACAAGAAGCAAACAATGAAGCTGGTATTTGGAAGTGCTACTTTAAAAGTGCTAAAAACCACTCTGGCATCTGTTCTGTAGACAATCCCACATTTCAGTTTTCACTGTAGTTTATTTATGAGAAACGTTCTCATTATAGTGAGACTTTAAAATATTTTTTTTATATATAAGCTCATCTGTCATGTTGATATCTGCCAAAATTGCTCATTTTTGACTGGCTGGTAGCCAGTCAGATCAGAGGGAGGAACCTTTCAAGAGATACATTACATAAATGTGCGATCCTATAGTTCCTTTACGGAGCACAACGTCACCAGCAATGGAATCATGTTATCAATTATATTTTAAAAATAAATAAATAAATTAAAAATTTACCTTTCCAAGGCCAATTTATAAATCATGACTGATGTTTACATTATCTCCCAGTACAGATACTCATTCAGCTTTCCACTGAGCCTGCCATGATGGCTGTCCTCACCATAGTGACAGCTCTGTCATGTCTGATTCCTTACTGAAGCGCAGTTGACATTCTAAGCTGACCAAAAGCCTTCTGTTCCAATTCCTTTTTGATAAGGCAGCCAACAGATAACATGAGCCTTCCGCTGTCATTTATCTCGCTGCACTTACTTATGTTTAAAAAAAGCTTAATGGAATTAACAAAACCAATCAATTTAATTGCAGGCTAATTAACAATATATTGTATTAGCACTACAAGTAATTAATTTCTCCCATGGCTTCCAATTACTGCTTTGAGAATCAGTCTGAAACCTATTGGTTTTGAGTCGTTGTAACTGTCATCCTTCCATGACATTCAAATTATTTCAGGCAAAAGCAACCAATTTTTCAGACTACAAAAAAAATGAAAGCTGTTAAAACATCTCAACTAATCTTTAGTCTGAAGTTATCCAGAACAACGTCACTGCGGAACAATGTCACTGGTGATAATCCAGGTTGGTTCTTACAACCGACAAACTACAACACGAGCAGTTGTGAGAACACGGGAACAACTGCCTGTTCTGTTTATCCGCTCAGAGCACACTGCGGTGCTGCTAATGCCGAGATTAGGAACGATGACAAAATATTAAAAGCAAACTGTTCCAAAAATAATACTGGAACTCTTCCAGATAGGCCATTGGTACTGCACTCCAAATGATACCTGCATTCTTCAAAGCTGCACTAAGAGGCAGTCACGATTTTAAGTGACAAGCAGGGAAAAAGGCTCTCCATGTGTTGTCTGTCATATAATGACAGGGAAGCAGCTCTAAAAGTGCACAGTGTGGAAAAGGAAAGCTAGAGCAGCGATGGAGTACAGAGGGAGGTATAAACCTCAAATCTACTGATGGCTCCCAGCGCTTCAAGCCTGCTTCTTTCTTAACAGACGCCTGCATTTCGGCCTGTGCCAGAAGAGAGGCGTTACACCTCTCAACAGGGGAAGATTCTATACAGCAAACAGGAGGATTAAAGTACCCAAACACTTTAGCGTGTCCCTTACCGTTTCCTGGTGCTCTGCAAGTTCACAGGCAGCCCCGCTGCACCATCCTAAAGCTGCCGAGTACAAACTCCTTTCCCTGCCGCAGCAGCCACTGACAAACGGCACCAGCAGCAGATTCCCTCCCGTTCAGGGACTGCAGTGCCCACTCTCGTGCCCTGAGCGGGTTCTCTGTTTTCTGCAGAGCTTCCCAACCCAACGGCTGAAACACTGCAGGACCTTCAGCAGAAGCTCTACACTTTGGGGATGTCACACAATGATCTAGGCAGGAGATAAACCTAATCCGCCTGCCCCCTACCCCAAACTGACACTCGGATAAACATAAAAGCAAGCTGACTGTTCTTGAAGGGATTTTCTTCATTTTTTCTGGGTTGAACGCCAATAATTGACAACTTTCGCTTTCTTTTAGGAAATATTTAAACTCTTTAGCACACATACATGCAGAGTCATATAAAAATTTTTATACACAAGCAATAATATGGCTATACTTGTGATTTGCATAGAAAAGCATGAGTTAACTATCTTTCATTTTAATTTTTTCTCTTCGATGACAATGTAAAAGTTCAGCCAGATGAATACCAAACCTCATGTCACAACTTATTTTACCTCCTCCAAACACCACACAGGTAAAAGTCTACGTGCATAAGCAGTAAATTAGGATGAACTCCAACTCACCAAATTTGAGTCACTGGGGGGATGATACTTTTCCGTGCCCATTCTCACCAGTCCATCATGATATAAAAATACTTTCAACGGATCACAGGAGGTTACAAGAATATACACACGTAAATCAAACTTGTAGCCTTCCATAAGAAATGGTTTGTCAAGATATTCCTGAACAATCAAGTGATCCTGAGCTTGTAACTTTTCTCCATTTCTTATTAAAGAGATCCTGGTAAAAACAAAAGTTATTTTAAAATCAGGGAACTTTGACATTATTCTTCGAAATAGATTTATCCAGCCAGGTAGTCAGGGCAAAGTCTACCTGGAGAGAGAGACTTAAATATCTGATTTGTAGGGCAGAGAAAAAGCTCCATGTGCTTACATGGCTTTTGGTTTCCTGTCCTTTATGGCGCTTCACGGGATGAAAACAGGCAACGAGCCATTCCAAAATAACTTTTGATTCAACCATTTGTAATAACGGGCTCCTTCTACATTTAGAAATGGTTTGGCAGAACGACCAACCTCCAGCTTCTGCGACTCTTCCCCGTGCAGCTCTAAAAATAGGCTCCGGCCTTTGTCACGACTTCTGCGCCAGGTACAGGTTGCAGAGAACTTCCAGTGCTGACCTGACCTGGCGATGGCGTTCGCAAGGCAGGACACCGATCGGTACGACTAAGGATGGCACAGATTAAGCTCAGCATTTCTGTAGTCCAGTTTCCCCACATCAGAACGGAAAATGGTTTCTCTACAGACTACAAACTGGCAGTCCCTAACTACACAGATTGTAAATAACTGTAACAGCTCATATTTTCCTGTGTATAATTATTGACACCGAATTCCCACAGCTTTGTTGCCTTCATCGTACCCTCTATTATTTATGATGCATTTCAGTGTTCTGGTGCTCAATACTCCTCATACACTGAAGCACTTTCCCTGGCATTTCTCTGAATTAGGCTGCTGCCTTTCCCTTCAGCTTATCTTTGCCCTTACCAAGAGAACCGAAAAACAAGGAAATGGAAAAGTTTGGGGGCTTTACTTTTACAGCAATTCTGATATATTTTTTTAATAACTAAGAGCTTTACTGTATACTCCAAATTGAGATGAAAGGCAATAAAAGCTAAAATTGAAGTGTCTAAAACCAACAACAGAGTTAAAAGCAAAATTGCCACATTTATCTCATTGTTTTTTACGGTGCAACCCTGTCATAGGCAAAACTGTTTCAACTCAACTGCAGGTCACAGTCTCCTCAGGGGTGTCCCTCCTCCAGCATGGGTGTCACCTCCTTCCAAGACTGCACCTCCGGCCACAGCCCCAAGTGTCTCCTCAGTGTCTCCTCTGTTTCGCCTATGCCTCGTGGCTGCCACTCTTAAATATGTTTGTGCTTCTCTGGCTGGCTGCAGTTTTGGCACACAACGGGGTGGCTGGGCTGGTCTCGGAGCTGTGGAAGATCCTGACCTTCTCCCACACGACACCCCTGCAGCCGTCAGCCATAGCACTGGATTTCACCTTTAACGGGCAAGACGACTGAAGTGAACACACAACTCACCCATGGCCCATTGCACCGTTAGCTGGTTTGACTATGAAGGTTTTCTGTCTACGTTTCTTCTTCAGTTCTTTTACGTAGTTCTGAAACTGTGTGTATTCTGCAGGGAAGATCCATGTCCGAGGAATAAAACTATACTCCTGAGGCTGACTCTTGATCATTCTGCAAAAAAAGTGTAATTGAGTTAAAACCTTTTAACTACTTTGATGTTTCAATCCTTAGAATTAAAAAGCACTTAACAATAATTTGACAAGGAACCTTTCTTGCAAAATGCTGTAACACAAAAGCAACTGTTCAAGAATACTTAGAGCTCTATAACATATTCATATGCACACTTTAAGGACAGCAAAAGCAGACGATCTTGGGCATTTTTGCTCAGTATCGTATTTGCTCATTGTGTTACTGGCATCCACCTCATTTCTTGGCATCCACCTCACTCCTCTTATTGTTTTTGTTCAGTTACTCAGATGAAAGACAGGGAGGGATTCTTTATCAGAGAGTATAGTGATAGGACGAGGGGTAACAGTTTCAACCTGAAAGAGGGGAGATTTAGATGAGATATTGGGAAGAAACTCTTCCCTGTGAGGGCGGTGAGACACTGGCAGGGGTTGCCCAGAGCAGCCGTGGCTGCCCCCTCCCTGGCAGTGCTCAAGGCCAGGCTGGATTGGGCTGGGAGCGACCTGCTCTGGTGGGAGGCGTCCCTGCCCGTGGCAGGGGGTTGGACTAGATGATCTTTAAGGTCCTTTCCAACCCAAACCATTCTGTGATTCTATGATCCAATGCTATTCCTATAGACTCCTGTATTCCTTCCCCCCACCCTTCTTGAGAGGCAAGTACCTATTTGGCAAGTACTTTAACTTTCATACAGGTATGCGTTCAGGGATGTATGAGGATCAACACACACACACACAGAAAAAAAAAAAAGAGGACCTGGGATATTTGGAGTTGCTGCAAGAATTATTAATAACAAGGACTGAATTTAAAATTAAAACGGAAGCGATTTAAGAGGAGCTTTTTCTTTCTTTCTAGTCTTCTGAAGGAATTCCAAAAGTAAGGAACTGTAGTAAATATATTTTGACACAGGCCAAGCAACTGCTCAGGCACCTCCAATATAGGGCAAAACACACAAGCTTGGATTTGTGGTTGGTACCAGCATATTGTGACGAAGTTTCCCTAAACTAAAACAAAACTAAGGTTAAGACATCGTAGTGAACAATCTCTGAAACTGGACCTGGCTAAAGGATGATGCAGCAAGGTCTTGATGTCCCTGCTTTGATAGCTGTGGCAGCTGAAGTAGTGAGCACATCTCCTTTTATAGTGCTGAGAAGACAACTAGAAGAGGGAAAATGGTAGAGAATTCCGTTAGGAGAAGTTTCCATCACCCAGAGCTGTGTATCTGGCAGATAGGAAGCATATAACCACACCAGACTGGCAGTATGGGCTAGATACCCACGGGTCAGCTGTAGTACTGGTTAACAGCCAAGCTGCAGCAGCAATGTGGGCCTGGTGGCACTACACAGACTGGTATACCATAGTTCCCAGCAGAACAAATTGAGTCTTTGCTGAGTTAAATACTGATGCAGCTAGCTTGTTTCAGGTACTCCGAATACCTCAAACTTCAAACATAACCTCGTGTGAAATTAGTTCGGGTAACTCAAAGCTACTCTGCAACATAGGGTGGACACATCTAAAATACAAATATCCACAGACCAACAGAAAGCGGCTGGATGTTTAAAAAGAAATTAACCGACATCGGAAGGTCCCCAACTTTGATTTTTAAAAGAACAACACTATGATGAATTCTAATATTTTTTAATTAATTACAGATTTAGGTATACTTCTCCTTTTGCCGTGAAAGCTAATAGCATCAGGATAACTTAAGCGTAAAAGAGACTTAGAATCTCATTTCAATTTCTCTGCTATTAGCCTACATAACACTCCTGATGCAGCATAAGACACTTTTTCTTTAAATGGCTCCAATACTAATGGAAAAAAAACCAGAGCTGCCAACCACATCTGTAAGGCTAGGACTGTAGCCAAGCCCTACTGGTATAATAGATATATTGTCACCAAACTGTTTAGCCAACTACCCAACAAACACTGCAGAAACCACAATAGCTACAGTAGTCTTGAAGTACTGCCTGAGGTCCAGTGCTTCTGCAGCTTCATTGTAACGATTATGTTTACAAAACTGGTTAGATAGAAGCCACCAAATATTCAGAAAAAGGTTTAAAAAAACCATAAATAGATATTTCAATTCACGACTCATGCATATTTTTAAATTACTCTCCATCGGCTATATATTTACAAACGTTACCTTGCTAACTGAACAGCTTATCTAGGCAGAAATTATCCTATTTTTAGGCAAAAAGCAATTTCTGTGTTAGTTCTCACCCCTCTCCAAATCACTTATCATATGCATCCTGAAGTATTACACGGCAGAGACTTGCCATTTAACCTCCTCACAGCCTTCCATACGCATGCTCCCTACTCAATGAACATAGCTTCATGGCACTCTAGATACCTCAACATCATTTGTGACTGCAAGTGCACCAGTTCCAGATGCCTTTCTCCATCTTATGCATAAGCGGGCAGACTACAAACACTTAATAATAGGAAGTGGAATGCTTAACCATTGTTTACAAGGTCAGGGGCTCGCTAAAAATTTCAACAAGAGAACTGAGCTCTGTTCTTTCCCTGCTTGGCCCTATTCAGAAATGGCTTAGGAACATCATCAAGTAGCTTGTGGAATCAAGACCTATCCCGTTACAATAGCTCTATTTACCAGCACATCTGTGGGTAACCCCTTTTTCACTGCGCTGCTCTATCCTTTAGTCTTCGCAGTCCTCACCGGGAGGTCTGAGAATTAAACAGCAAATGATTGTTCTCCTGAGTGCTATTTTCGCTCACAGATGTGGTCAGACTGGGCTTTTGTTTCTCAGAGTGCTTCCTCTGCAAAAGGATCAAAGGTGCTGAACGACACGTAGGTTACTCAAGACATGACTTGTCAGTGTAATAACACAGGTTCCACACTGCCTGGGTCTCGAGGTCCTTGACTTCTCAAGTAGGAAAGGAGATTACCGTGCACGTACGGAGGAGAATGATTCTTGGTCCGTGATCAGTTCACAAACCTTTTAAACATAAACAACAAAGGTGCTGCAAAAAAGGCCATCTCCTACATGGGTCTGTTCCCCTTCCCATTCACCCTGTACACCTTCTCCCCCACGGACTGTATTCACTCTGTAACCACACTTCCCTTTTACATGAGAAGATCTCCTCTAAGACACCATTAACAGAAATTAAGATCTAGTTGGCCCTACAATGTCACCTTTTCTTTTTTCCCCCCCTCTCTTCTCTGTGTTCTGCTTATTCCCCTTGAAAAGGATGCCTGTGCCTCCTTTTGTTCTCAGTTACGCTCCTGCTGCCATCTGTTCCATACTCTGTGTCCCTACACTTTCTGTGCTGGGGTGTCATCTCTCATGTCACACACACCACGTATCACACCACTCCCCTCCATGCTTCTGCACGTGAGAACCACATTGTCCTGTGGTCCAGAGTGCCTGAATAATGGCTGGGTAAGAGAAATTCCTGAAGTGCAGCTGCTCCTGATTAGTAGTATTTGCCTCAGAGTCCAGTAGGTTTGTTCTTCCGCTCCACTCCCAACAAACTGCACAAAATGGAAGGGTAAGACCACTATAACAAAGGTAGAAGCCAAAGAAAAAGAAGAGGCTGCTCTCCACCAGTTCTCAGCAGTTGTTTCACAAACTCTCAAGGGTACAAAACCCACAGCTATTCTGTACGAGTCAGTAACAGGAACAGAAAAAAAATGCATCCAGCAGAAGAGCAAGAGAACAGAATTGGTGTTTCGGCACAGTCCTGTTCAAGCAAATTTTAAGACAGAACAGCAGCTGTACAGAACAAAATCCTCCACTCTACAGACAAGAGCCTGCCCAACCACGCATCCCAACCGACTTGTGATTTCACACACGTATGTGTTTCACGAGCAGTCTCAAGGCATATCATTTTGATTTTTATAAATCATGAATATTAAGTATTGAATTGTGAGGCTAGCACTGCAAAAACGCAGAATGAATAAACCCCCGCTACATCTGCTGATATGAAGTCACAACATAGATATGTTCGACCCAGAGTTACCATATCAGAGAAATTATTCCCACCTTATCTAGAATATGTGCAATCTCCACAGTGAGTACCTTTGAATGGTGTTTCAAACTCAGAATTCAGTAGGTTGCAAGGTATAACCAGACTGTATTTGAAAGCAATGTGTGCATGAGAACGAAAGCCTTTTGTCCATTTTGCACATTTTTTTAGAAAAATGACAGGACTGTAGCAGCGCACAGGGATACCGCTGCCTACCCAGGCGACCAACGCTGCTCTGCTGTTCCCGAGACCTCTCCAAAGAGCTGTTGGCCCCCACGGGCTGTCTCTGCGTTTGTACTTAGAGTTCAGGTCTGGTAGGGGCAGGGAAAAGCGCTTATGTAGCATGTACTGGCACAAGGGAGTTCTGGCCCCCACGTGGGACATGCAGACACCGCGGCAATACACATATTTGCATAACAGTTGCATATATTTTACATGCTATGTGTTGTAGTTATAAAATAGAAGAGGAAACAGAGAAAGAGAGAGAGAGAGGAGACACCACATTCATTACATTAACATATCAAAACAAATTCTGTTCTGGTAACAGGCACCGCAGTGTAGGTACCATTGGGGGACGAAAGATTAATTCTATTTATAATTGCTCTTTAAACTAATATCAAAATATTCACACATATTTATCCCTAAACTTTCCCTTATTACCAGGCTGTTGAAGCACGATTTAGTATTGTGGTCTTACTTACAGATTCTCAGCTAGGATAATTCCTCAGAACAAGTTATGTCACTAGAGTGAGGAGAATTTATAATCAGACAAATGACTCTGTCCAACTTATTTCTTACATAAACTGGAAGATGCTTCGCTTTTTTTTTTTAAATCGGATATACGCAAAAATATAGTCATTAATTATTTTAAACAAATAATATGCATCCACATACTAGTTATTTTTTCTGTTCTGCCATTACAGGATACATGCCTGGGTGTATTAGGTACTATACAATAATTTAAGGCTCTCCTGCATTCTGCAATGCATAGACAAAGAACTGAACCCACATCATTTTCCACTGAAGGCAACTGGAGAGCCACAGTAGCCCACTCTGAAGCTACAGATCGAGGACCAAAGCCAAAGTTATTAGGGAACTTTGGAAATTATTCTTCATCCTCTCATAGCCTCGTAGCAAAAACAAACAAACCTTACAAGCAAGAATGAATTCAGTATTGTACTGAATTAAATACTATGGCTGAAAATCTTCTTAATATTAAAAGAATGATTACTTAGTCATGTTTCTTGCCAGAAAATCCTTTCTGCAGATCTCTCCCATCCCTGGAAAATGGTTGATTCTCTGAGGAAGGAGGAAAAACAAAAAAAAAAAAAGAAAGTTAATTGGTACTTTTTCGTTTTCCTGGCATACCTAATACAACCATTTAAAACATTTGACTGCACGCTCAGGCAGACATAATTAGTGTTACACACAAATTGTTTAAGGTAATATCTTACATTATACTATGTATTCTTAGCAATACTAAAGATGCTGTAAGTTGTATTCTCCTCCACGAGCACGAGTATGTCCATTGATTTCATTTCAGACATGAAAGGAGACTATGGTACTCTTACTCACAAAGCTACCTAGGAACAAAGAATGCTATTGCAAAGTAATGATAAAAAAAGGAATTCTTTATTCACAGAATCGGCAGAGAGAGCTCTGCTTGTTAACTTACTGCTTAAAAGCTTATGAGCAACTTATAAATGATGTTTTGCATCTTCTTTCACAGGACCCAACGGGCAGACAAAAGCATAAAAGAACAGCCCCAAATACTTAAACACCAGATTCCAAGTGGCACGGACAAAAAAACTCTGGAAAAGAGACTGGGATTTTAAGATACGTAGTGGTACAGCCTTATTGCAGTCTGGCTGGTGGTGTTTTGTGGTTTTTTTTTCTCTCTGTACAAATGTAACTGACCAAAAGTGACACATTACGGAACGTTTCAGAGTGAAGCACTTTACTGAGCCATGCCAGAAATCCTAACCACCACTCTACCTGGTAGTTCCGAAGCTCAGCAATCTTTTCCTGTTGCACAGCAGAATCACTCCATATAAGATTCGCTGTTTCATCTTCATCGCGTGTTTTCACAAATCCCATTTCTCGTATCACTACACGTACTACGGAGAAATCACATACTTAGGGAATGCTTTGCACCTCTAACATAGATTCAGTTTCAATTTTAACAAACCAGTTAAGATTTTAAACACTTGCAAAATTCAACCCCTTTGTCTGAGAACAATGCTAGCACACAATCTATCATTTATCTTGCAATATTTCCATCAGTCTACTGCAAACCTGGCATTACAACGCTACAGCTCCTTGTACCGAGGCTGGAACCAGAGCACAACCACTGATGGGACCTGTGAAGAGCTTCGGGGCATTCCACAACCATCTAGCACAAGCCCACTTGTATGGCTTTCAGACTTAACCCTGGCTATCACGTCTGTTCATTTTAAAAACAGTGATGGCTAGAAGTGTCACTGCAGACAGGGGACAAGAATGCCTCCTTAGTCAAGGTACAGTAGTTATAAATACATTATTTTAATACCAAAAAAAAAAAAAAGAAAAGATAAAAGCCTAATTATGTGCCAGGCCTAACTCAGGTTCTAGGAGAAGAGATTTTTCTGAAGTAGTCCCAACCATCAAAACACAAAACATTAGATTTTATTGAGAAACCTCTGTATAATAATTAGAGTATTTAACATTCAATTTTCACTGGTTATCTTTCAAGGCTTTAAGTAAACTTCCAAACACATATGTAATTTATAATCAGAGGGGTTTTCCACAGCCTCCTTCGGTTAACTTGGGTTTTTGCATTTCAAGGCCCTTCCCTGAGCAACAAGTGGGGAGCAACAGATGCACAGCGTTCAAAGCTATCAACTCGGTGTTACCAAAAGAGAACAAATGGTTCTTACAACAGAAAAACCTTTGGAAAGGTCTCAACGTCAGCTTGATGCAAAGCCCATCAATTCACCCCGTTCGTTAATAATTCACTCGCGACAATGGCTGTTAGGATGAAAACAAAACATGTGGCTTCCTACCGATTTCGTATTTTGTGCCCGCAACATTTGCGGTGATGACTCCATTCTTCTTCTTTCTGACTTTTCTTTTAATGGTGCTTTGATAGGGTAGTTCCGAACTCAAAGTCAGAGGAGCAGTTCCATGGTTATCTTTGAAAAATAACGTTGTAAATATCAACATTTTTGTATCTCAAACAACGTATAGAAAAGGACTAAAAATGCAAACATTTACTTCATTGCAACTTAGAGGTACAAGGATACTGAGCATTTAATAGGCTATATTAAAAATCCAAGACTAGCATACCTCCCTCATTAGGCAAGGATGGCATTATAACCTAGGATCGTGCAGAAGCAGAGCCCAAATTCTGTTCCAAGTTCTCAGAAAATGATAGAGCTGTCAAAGCCAAATTATTTAAAGCTCCAGTCATACCATTTCAGTCTCTGGTTGTCACAAATATTAGTTCTGGAATGGGTAGATATCTGTGCTAAAACAAAAATATATATATATATATGAGACACTTTGTCACAGAGAAATCCTGAAAAAATACAAACAGCAGAAAACTAACGTGGAAGTGCTTTTAATAACAAGTCAAAAGTAATGCTTATTTTAAAAGACTGGTCAAATTATTGTAAATACAAAACTTCGTTCATTACAATTCAACAGTTTTGTTTCTGGGAAAAAGCATTTTGCAGTACTAATTTTCAAAATGAGATTATATTACCTCATTTTCTTACTTTCATTTCTGTATGGGAGATTTAGGGCATGAAAACAGGTAACACTGAATTCAATCAATGCTGCAAACTTTTATCTCCACCAAACTCACTGAATTTATAGCAATTTTAAACCACATTTTAATCAAAAATTTTAAATCACACACACTGTATTGCGTGTTTTCAGGTACCAAATAGGAAATAACTGAAATCACCTCACTAATCTTTTTCCATTTTTTCATTTTTCAACATTTTTAAAGCAATTGTCCAATTGTAACACACGGCTGCAGTTTCATGCCCGCTTCATGACACAGACATGATTTCAAAGACACTTTGGGTTGGCAAGTATCTAAATTGTCAGTTTCTAAAATAAGTAATTATTTGCATAAAATGCTATTTTTCATGTGTACATTGATGCAAAATTTCTTTTTTTTTTCTTTATGAATACACTACCACATGCAAAAATCCCACACATTCAAAAGTTTTTAGGTCCAGCTTAAGTACATAAGAATAACGGGCTAAAATTTTAGGGAAAACACTCAGGAATAAAATGCTTCTAAACACACTGCTACATGGCTTCAGGCATGCAGCACTGTTAGAACAACGTCTGCAAGGAAGCAAATGCTGTCTTTGGCAGGCTGCCCCAACCAAATCTACGAGAACATATACAGTATAAGTTACCGATTTTTAAATGCTTTCATTTCTTTTCTGCAATTATATGTGTGGCTAAAGCGCCTTACACGAGCTTTAGGTTAGTTTATATAGCCACTTGTGGTGACTGCAAAACTTAAACAGCTTTATATAGAGCGTGAGGAATTTCTTCTGCTATAAATAGCAGAAAATTACAGTAAAGTCTAATTCAGTCATGACTGATGTGAAACATATTTGGTCCTAAGACTGGATGAGATGTGCATGAGCAAAATTACCAAAACATTACTTATAAATCCTCTTTTTCTTTGTTTTAATGCATGTGTCTGTATGTACACATGTCAAAGAGAGACACACAATCATATTCTGGACAAGTCACCTCATTACTTATAAATCCTCTTTTTCTTTGTTTTGATGCGTGTGTCTGTATGTACACATGTCAAAGAGACACACAATCATATTCTGGACAAGCCACCCTCTTGGTAAGAAAATACAAAAGCAGATATATCTTGAGTTGCAAGATCAAGTTTCCTTTCAAGACAGAAATTTACCCTTAACAGTCCACTAACACAAAAGGATAAAAAGAACAGATTATGGTTCTTTTATGACTGTCACCAACGCACCAGGGGCCAAATCCTGTTTTGTAGTAAGACAACCAAATCTCCCTCATGTCCATTCAGTGCAGTGACACTAAATGAACACTAAAACTGTGTATTTATCCAGAATATAACAACAGGAGACATTTTATACACAGACACAACATTTGACAGCATGGCAGTAACACCCAGCCACACCTCCTTACAACACACTTTGCTGAATGAGAACTCACTAAGAAAGTCCACCCAAACCGCACTAAAACTGGCAGGTCATCTTGAAGTTTTCATGTTTTGGGTGCCATCACCCGAGAAGGTGGCCTGAAAGTCCTCCTGCCTGTCGGCCTGCTAAAATTAGACACAGAGCTGGGAAAGCAAAGCATTCATCCTCCTTAAAACCACTGCGAAGGAAAAGCACCGCTGGGCACAATGACTCACTGAATGTTGCATGTTATCTGCTTCCCAAGCTAAGAATACCAGACATGGCTAGTTCCTGGGAATAATACCGAGGTGCATCCGTTAGCCAACTAAGGACTTCTATGCACACACACGAACGCCTAGCAGTTGTTTCCCCCCTGTACCGGCTAAAAACTTATAACAAATTTGGAGGAATGTCAAGACAAATAATATTTCCCTGTGAGAAATGCCAGCCCTTACTAATAGGGCATGATTTACAAGCTGTGATGTGGCAGTAAAAACCAAGCAGCTCATACAGCTTCCAGAAAAATATCTGCCCCAAGTTACTATAACACATCGCATTCTGAAGGCAACCATAAAGCTCCAAACGGCGTTATGCCGTTGAATTACCGGGTTTCTTTATGTAGAAACTATTTTACTCTTTGGAAAATAATACTCATCAAGGTTTCAATAGAAAGCACCAGTACTCAAGGTCTATGACTTGCAACCAGTCAACTTTTTAGCACACATACACGAGGTGATGGTAAAGTTTCACGGTCACCTTTAGAGTACGCTATGGACAACTAGTAGTTTGGTCGTACAGAAAACAAAGTAATTGCACTCACGAACTCTCTACAAAAATTTCTGCAAACTGATCGCTGAAGTAACTTTTCTTGACAAGATTATGGATGACACCATTTTTATCATCGCAGCCGAAGCACGCACTCCCCTTATGATGTCAAATCTTGTTACGAAGACACATGCAGCCTATTTATCAAATCCTGATTTAAACTGAATTCTTCAGTGGCAGAAGAGACTGTTGCTGTAGTCTGTATGCAAACTTACTCTAGGAATTTGACTTTTCACAGGCACTGTCTGATAGCAATAAAGTTAAGCTGTCTTTTGCCTTAAGCTCGTATATAATAATTCAAAATTGCTTTAGAATTGCTTCACTTCTCCTAAGTGGCCCATCTCCAAACAACTATTTCACTGAACACCCCAACACCAGCAGTTCTAAACTAGTAGTTTTCCAAAATACCTTACATGGGATGCAGTCCTTTCCTACTGGAACCATCTCCTTTCCAAAGGGCAAATACAGGTCCAATGAAATTGGACAGTCTTACCTTTTCTTCCCACCACGTCAAGTGACAGACGAGAGGTACCACATCTCACCTAGGGGAAAGCATTGCCCGGAGCACTGGCTGCGAGTCGCAGGCTAAGCCATGGGAGCAGTAGACTTGCTCCTGCTTTGTTCCCAGTGCAGCACCACGAGAAGTTCCAATGCTGCGGCAAGAAAAGCAGAGGAAGCTGCAATCCTCCCGAGTAAACTGCAACTGTTCCTCAGGCTACGCTTTGGACGAGCAGTTCTCTAACTGGGGGAGCGGGTCACTTGGGAGAACCAGGAATACATCTCTCGGAGCAATCAGTGCAGGGCTGGTGCTGAGGGGAGGGAGCTGGAAGGAGAGGACACACGCTGACAGAGCACCGCGATGCAACTCTGCAGTGCCACGGGCCCTGGCAGCCACAAGCT